CGCTCTGAGGATCCCCATCTTGTCCTCGCACGATTCGCAGACCAACCGGCAGCAGCAGGGACGAAACGTGGTAGCGTCATTCACAACCCACTCCTCGAGACAGATCGGGCACCGCGACCCAAACCGCGCCGACCGCGGCACTGGTTCCGGGTTCGCCTCGCGCCGCGCGCGGGCCGCCTCGTGTTCGGCCGCGATGCGCGCGCGGACCTCGTCGGCGCCCGACCGCGGCGCGGGGCCGTAGACCACCTCGGGCGTGGGCATCGGGGCTTCCGCCCGCGCCGCCTCCGCCGCGCGCTCGTCGCGGATCTTCTTGCACGCCTTCCGGTGGCCTCGGTCGCGCCAGTCGATGCGTTGGCAATCGGTCGAGCAGTACCTGGCGGGTCGCACGTGACTGCGCCCCGGAACGCGTCGCGCGCCGCCGGACGCGTCGCGCGGCGCGAGCGCACCGCCCCCCGTTCACGGCGCCGGGGTCGCACTGCGTCGTCCCACAGGGGCAGTTGAGCTTCGCCTTGTCTCCACAAATCGTACATTTCAAGCGGAGCGCGAGCGCCTTGGCGCGGGCCTTTCTTTCCTCATACTCGAGCTTCTTCTTTATGAGGACGGGGTCCATCGGCGGGACCATCGCAAACCTCTCGTTGTACGTGAGCTCGGGCGTGTGGCCGAGAGCGGGGGCGCGAGGCTCGGGTTAGTGGCGGTGTTGTGGCGGAGGTCGCGCGGGGGGCGGAGGCGCCGAGTAGCGTGGGCCGAGATCGCCGACGGCCGCAAGAACTTGTTGCGGCGCAACCGGGGATCGTCGCATGCATGCGTGGACGACTGGCCGAGCTCTCATCGACGATGGCTATCAATGTCCTCGTCGGCGTGAAGACTTAGGCTATACGCGCGCGTCGAGGGCCGCGAGGCTCTCTATAGCTCTCTCGTCGCCCTTGGCAGCGGCGCGCTCGAACCAGTATCTGGCTTTGCCGAGGTCGACTTCCGTGCCTTCTCCGTCCCTGTAACAACAGCCAAGGCAACTCTCTGTAATAGTATCGCCTTGATTCGCCGCGAGCGCGAAGTACCGGAACGCTTCTTCACATTTCCCCTCAGAATGAAGTAAATACGCCAGACTGCTTTGCGCGATCGCGCAGCCCCGGTCCGCGGCCGCGCGATACAGCCGCTCCGCCTTCTTCTTGTCCAGCTTGACGCCACTTCCATACTCGGTCATTTCCCCAAGTCGTGACATCGCGTCCACGTTCCCGAGCTCCACGGCGCGCCGGTAAATCTTCGCGGCTTTCTTATCGGATTGCACCAGGCCAAAGTAACCGCGGCGGTACGCAACTCCCAAACACGTAATTGCTTCTGGCACCTCGTTCTCCACGTGGCGGCGAAGACGCGCGAGGGTTTCCGCATCGTTTTTTGCGCGCGGTAAACGACAGAGGGGACACGCCTCGAGTCTGCTGATCTTGTCCTGGCACGATCGGCAGACCGTTCGGCAGCAACAGATGCGAAGCGCGCCCGGAGCATTCACGTCCCACTCCTCGAGACAGATCGGGCACCGCGACCCGTACCGCGCCGACAGCGGCTCTCGCTCCGGATTCGCCTCGCGCCGCACACGAGCGGCCTCGTGCTCCGCCGCGATGCGCGCGCGGACCTCGTCGGCGTGCGACCGCGGCGCGGGGCCGTAGACCACCTCGGGCGTGGGCGTCGGGGCTTCCGCCCGCGCCGCCTCCGCCGCGCGCTCGTCGCGGATCTTCTTGCACGCTTTCCGGTGGCCCCGGTCGCGCCAGTCGATGCGTTGGCAATCGGTCGAGCAGTACCTGGCGGGTCGCACGTGACTGCGCCCCGGAACGCGTCGCGCGCCGCCGGACGCGTCGCGCGGCGCGAGCGCACCGCCCCCCGTTCACGGCGCCGGGGTCGCACTGCGTCGTCCCACAGGGGCAGTTGAGCTTCGCCTTGTCTCCACAAATCGTACATTTCAAGCGGAGCGCGAGCGCCTTGGCGCGGGCCTTTCTTTCCTCATACTCGAGCTTCTTCTTTATGAGGACGGGGTCCATCGGCGGGACCATCGCTCGTGTACGTGAGCTCGGGGCGTGTGGCCGGAGGGCGGGGGCGGGCGAGGCTCGGGTCCGCGGCGGGGTTGTGGCGGCAGTCGCGCGGAGGGCGGAGGCGAGCAGCGTGGGCCGATCGCCGACTGCCGCAACCGTGCTGCGGGCCGACTCGCCGAGCTGTCCCATCAACATGGAGGCGATCAAGATCGACGAGAAGGACCTGCGGGCCTACGACGCCATCCTCGCCGGCGCGTCGCGGCTCACTTTTCGCCTGGACAAGGACCGGAAGCTGGCGTTTACGACGTTTCGCGTCGACGCCGACGGCACGAAGGACGCGTTCTCCATCCTCGTCAACCACAGGCGGGGCGCGGAGCATTTGGGCAAGCCCTACCGTGAGCGCGAGTTCTACGCCGACATCGCGCTCGGCGACGGGTCCGACGGCCGCGTCGTCCAGACCGTCTTCCAGACCGTCTCGTCTCCGTACGGCGACAAAACTTTAGTCCTCCCGGTGGAAAGCATGGACCGCGGCGACGCGCTCGTGGTGAGCGGCGGCCTGATCATGTGGGAGTATGTGGATTTCAATCATATTAAGAATCTGCTGGGCTGTCTCTCCGACTTGCTCTGTAAGTGCCAGGCGCACGAGCACGAGCTCAAGATGGAGCGCGTGTCCGGCTCGGGCGTGCGCCTCGCGTTTACGGGGGCGCGCAATGCGGCCACGTGCCGGCGCTCGTGTTTCGACTGCCTCTGCGCGATCCCGACGTCCTTCGCTGGGCCCGTCTGCGTGAACATGTGCGTCGCGCCCCCCACGGGTTACTACGAGCTCCAGGACGCTTCAGAGCAGCCGCTCGGGTCCGCGCTGTTCACGCGGAAGGCGTCCTCGTACTGCTACGCTTGTTGCTGCCACGCTACGTGCGAGGAGGGCCAGCCGCACGGTTCCTTCGTCGACTTCGGCACCGCGCCGCTCCAGGCTCGGCGCGACGTGGTGGCGGGGCTCGCGGCGGCGATCGGGAACGTGTCGGCCGAGCCCTCCGCGTGAGCGCCGACGTTCTCGTCTAGTCACCTCTCTCGCTGCTCTTCGCGCTTCCTTCGCCGCTCGCCCTACGTCGCCGTGCGCTCTTCGTCGTCGTGCCCTTTCCGTCGCCGTGCTCCTGTACGCCTCCGCCCTAGTCGTGTCCTCCCGTGCCCCCCCCTGCGCCTCCCTTCGCTGTCCTCTCTCCCTTCGGTTCCTCCTTGCGCCGCGGCCAACTGGAGAGCGGTGTTGCGAGCTAGAGCGGCGTCCTGTGCTGGCCGTAGCGGTCGCGGGTGCCACGGACGACGCAAAGGAGAGGCGCGAGGGCAGGACGCAGGACAGGAGATCGGTCGGCGCTCGAGGCGACTCAGGCTCGCCGCAAATCTACCGCTGCGCTGTGCGCTGCCACAAGAGCTCACGCGGGACTCGTCGCAGCAACACTATCAAACATGATGAAGCGTCGCGTCCTCGCCGCCGAACGTCGGCTCCAGCGGCCGCAGAAGGGCCGCGGCGCGATCGTACTATTGTTCGGCGCCGTGTGGGTGCTCTCGGTCGTCCTCACCCACTACCATCACACCGGTCGCCACGAGGGCTCGCCGGGCGGCATGCACGCGCAACTGCGTCGAGACGACGCGAACGCGCCCGCGGCGCCGACGCCGGACGCGCGAGACGACGGCGCCGCGCCCGCGGCGCCGACGCCGGACGCCGGCGCGGTCGCGCGCCGAGACCCCGCGGAGCCCTACGACCCGCTGCCGTCGTGGTTGTACACGCCGAAGCAGCCGCCGCCGAAATACCAAAAGAAGCAGCCGCCCGTGGACCAATCCTGCGTCGACTCGACGTCCTGGTTCTACAACGAAACCGCCAAACGGGGCTGCGACTTCGTCGCCTACCGCGTCGCGGGCCGACCGAAGAGCCGCAAGAGCGCGTGCTCGAAGCGGGACGCCTCGCAGATCAAGGCCTGGACGGCGTGCCCCGGGGCGTGCCGCGACAGCTGCCGCCGCGCGCCCCCGTGCGGCGCGCGGGCCGACGTCCGCTGCGCGCATCGGGGCGTCGGGCTCGCGCCCGAGGCCGCCGCGGCGCCGCCGAGGCGGCCGCAGCGCGCGGCCATCGAGGGCCTCGCGGCGCGCTTCACGGGCGCCGGCGTCCTGGGTACGAAGCGCACACTCGCAAAACTCGCGCGGGACCTCGGGGACGCGGCGCTCGAGAAGGCGGCGAAGCAGCGAGCGCTCTGCGACGCGGCGAAGGGCCCGCGGCGCCGCGACGGCTGCGGCGGCCCGCGCTGGTTCCTCGTGCCCCCGGCGCGGCCCGACGTGGCCTACGTGACGGAGAAGCTCCTGTCGCTCGGCCTGTGCCCCTACGAGTCGTCGAAGGCGCCGCCGGACGGGAGCCTGGACGTCTTCTTCGGCCACGCGTTCCCGGACGCGCGCTGGTCGCGCGCGCTCGGGCCCGCGTGGGCGCCGGGCGGCGTCGTCGGCGGCGGCGTGCTGCCGGGCATCAACGAGGCCTTTGGCGGGAAGCAGTCGATGACGGAGATCTACCGCGAGTGCGCGGAGTCGTCGCGCGCGAACGCGCCGCGCGCGGCGCTCTGCCCGACGCTCGTCGGCCGCGGCCTGCTGATCAGCTTCGACGTCAACGGCGACGACTCGTCGCGCCGCGGCGCGCGCCGCGCGGAGGACGCGCCTGAGCCCGCGAAGCTGACACCGGCGGACGTGCCGCACGTGTCGTCGATCCGCGGCGAGATCCGCGAGGCGCTCCACGAGCGCAAGGGCATGGAGTCATCGACGTGGATCGTCAAGCCCCAGGCGGGCAAGAGCGCGGGGCTGCACATGAGCCGCGGCATGCACCTCGCGACGCTCGACCACGCGTCGGGCGCGTTGGCGAGCGACGCCGCGTTTTTGGCGTGGGTCGAGCGCCACGTCAAGCCCGAGCTCTGCGACGACTGGTCCAAGCTCACGCCCAGCACGAAGAAGTACTGCGCGCGGCGCCTCGTCGTCTTCCAGAACTTCGTCGAGAACCCGTCGGAGATCTTCGGCCGCAAGTACGACCTCCGGGTCTGGTGCGCGATAACGTCGCTCGACCCGCTCCGCGTGATGATCCTCCGCCACGCGCTACCGAAGATCGCGAGCACGACGCGGCGGCTCCCGACGGGCGAGGTCAAGCCCATCGACGACGCCTGCGCCCACATCATGCTGCTGATGAACCCGCGGTGCTTCAACGGGACGGCGGACGAATTCGCCGCGGGCATGGCGCCCGACGGCTACCCGAAGACGTCCGCGTCCCGCGCCTTCACGGAGCGCGCGACCTTCCGCGACGAGACCTACGCGCGCGGCGCGCCGCGCCGCGCCGCGAACGAGGACCTGCTGGCGTCGACGACCTGGCCCCAGATCGAGGAGCTCGTGACGACGCTCGTCCTGCTGAAAAGAGACCGGCTCCTCTCCGCGGTCGAATTCGCGGGCGAGGACGAGCTCCCGGCGAACCTGACGGGGCGCGCGCGGATCAGGGAGCTCGACGCGGCCATCGGGCACC